TTGATTCAAAAATTGTTTATAGACATCGCATTTTTTTTTTAATAGGTTAAATTATTGTATAATTCGCCGTTTGTATTAAACACTGGTAGTAAGGAGTGTATAAGGTACAAAAATTGTTAGGGAATCTACAGTATAGAATTTAGATAACTAATATGCTTTTCCTATTTTGTCTACACGCGAGTATAATGATGGAAAAATAGTGCACAGTATATGTCCTATAATATATAATTCAATAGCCATTTACCCTCGCCTTTTATACCTTGCCCATTGAATGCAAAGGCAGCATTGAATGACAGCAGATATAATAGAAAAATACTTTCCTATAAAACCTTATAACGATATAAAGTTTCTCTACACTTTGTCAGGGTCAGAGGACAGAGATATATTATACATAATTCATATTAAAGTCCCACACAGGCACACCATTTTATAAGCATTTTAAAGTTTCTATTGATACATCGGCTGTTTGTCTCTAGCATAGTTGGATGAAAACTTCTAAAATATGATGAAGATTTCCGTATTGATATAAATATTGATTAACACAGCAGCATGATACAGGTCGAAAAAAGCAGGATTATTCCGCTATAAAAGGCCAATTGCAATGCCAAATATAAAAGTCTTTATAAGATTTATAATGTGCCTGCTGAGATTGCTGCACGTCAAACATGATATGATATAATATACTATAAAATAAAATACTTGTGTCTGATGTTTAACTGTATGTATCGTATTATATATTATCGTTGTACCGCATAGCACGCACGGAGAAGTCTTGGCGTAAACGAATGGCGTTCATAAGATAACCAATAGAGTTCACTGGTGAAAACAGATAGCTATACTTCGAAGTAATTCTTGCTCGTTGAGTATCAGCAATGCCCAGAAAGCAATGTAGTCCATATAAAGAACGCGGGTTTTTAATCCTGTGCTATCACAAGTCAAGATACAGTAGCATTGTTTACAAACAGTTGGCGATGTTTCTTTGTAAGGATCAAGTTAAACCGTCATGGCGGTGGATTATAGTGAAGTTTTAGATTTCCTTGAAAAACTTAATAAATCAGAGATAGTGATACAAATATTAATCATTATCTTTGCAATCCTGGGCAACACTATGGTTTTGGTTGCGACTTGGAGAGAAAGAAGTCTTCATGAACCAAATAAATATTTTGTTGCTTGTCTGGCTGTCGCTGATCTTTTGGTTGGAATGATTTTCGCCCCACTTCGGTTGTATCAACTTGTGAACATAGAAAATGGAGGAACGACGTCTATTTATTTTTGCCGTTTTTACTTTTGGATAGATAACTTTTTGCAAACAGCATCTATTTATATACTGACGTTCATCAGTTTTGATCGATACCTCAAAATCAGCAAGCCGCTTCAGTATAAATCACGCATGACAACTTCCACATTACTGAAAATAATTTTCATCATCTGGCTAATTACAGCTACCGTTGCGACTTTGGCCATGTTTCCCTATGCAGATAGTCCTAGTATTTATGCAGGAGCTCAATGCATTTTTATGAATAGAATCTTTCATACTATTGGCGCCGTTAGCGCGTTTTTTCTACCCACGACAATCATGCTGGTTATGTACACTCTTATTTTTCTTGTCGTTCATAAACGACAAAAAATGCTGCGAAATGGTGCACTGGGCGAAACTTCCAACAATCCGAACCAGCGAAGTGCCTTGCTTCGAAATCTAAAAGTGATCCGCATGTTGCTCGTTGTCGTGGGCGTGTTTATAGTTTGCTGGGGTCCTTTTTTCGTATGGTTGATGATCTTTTACTATCAAAAGAAAGAAACATTTTGGCTCTCATTGACGTATTGCTATGAACATTCCTGCAATAACATGGTATATTTTGCAATGGTTCTTTGGCAGCTAGTGACCATTCTTCCGGTACTCAACTCTGTTTTCAATCCATTAATATACGCTTGTCTTGACCAGAAGTACAAGGAAGCTTTCAAACATCTGTTTCAGCGAATGATGTGTCGGGCAAGATCAAGAAGGATAGGGCCACCGCAGACACAATAAAGTTACGATGACGGCACAAATGATAAAACCAACGTAGGCACACTTAAAACTGCGACACTGTAGAAGACCAGAACACTTTGAAAACTAATATGTTTCACCTTTCAAAACTGATAATTTTAGTTAAGCCAATGGTAGTGCCCAATGGAACAACCTGCCCCACAATATCAAATCGTCTCTCACTGTTCAGTCGTTTAAAACTAAACTCAATAAACATTATACTGAGAAACTTAATGCATGTTTTGATGTCGATACTCGTAGACCAAGCCCAAGGACTTGGAAAACATTTTGTTCTAAAGGCCATGTTACACGGTGCAATTTTTCTTGCAACTTGCAATGCAATTCTACTCTTGAGAGATGTTAATTAGTGAAATCAGTGAAGAATTTCGATATGTTGAGAAAACATCAGCGGAGTGTAATGAAGACTCGTATTTGGCAATTTTACATCTCTCAAGAGTAGAATTGCATTGCAAGTTGCAAGAAAAGTTGCACCGTGTAACATGGCCTTAAGTGTCGTTCTTGCTTTTTACATTGTTGTTCCCGTAAATGTGAATTTTAATTATGCACATACTGTATATATAATGATGTGTAATCTGTGAATTAGTTATTTTAAATAGTGTTGTAATGTAGCATGTCAGGCAGGACTTAATTTAAGACTTTTTTCCGGTTGTCTGACAATTGTTAAATTGTAAAATTAATTTGAAAATAAGGGGGAAATATATTTCAACCAATTTTTTCCCCAAAAGTCCGCTTGTGCTGGAATTTATTTTTCGGTGTTTTAAAGGTGTCTTTGATTTCCACTTTCCACAGCTTTTCTTCCAGAGTTGTAGAAGGGGGGCAGTCCCCCTTGTTTGGAGTTCATGGGGAGGGGTTAAAACCCCCTTGTTTCATATCGATTTGAGGGGCTGACCTCTCAATATTTTGCAGATTGCATGGTCATAACCTGGAAAGTTCTTTGCAACTGTAGTGTTGAAATGATGCGGTAATGATGTTAGTAATCTGTACTTGATTACTATGATCATACTATTTATAGGTCATGTATGTGGCTCCAACATATATCATACAACGGTATATCGGAATCAGTGGCGTAATGGAGGAAGATGGGCCCCTTAGGCATATTTGGTGTGAGGCGCCCTGTTGACTGTTTTCGTTATTTGTCTGAGATATGATATTTATATTGAATATTCATATAGAATGTTCTGGAAAATTCGTGTCTATAACAATACCCGAATAACAATGGAGGCTTTTAATTACTATTTAGTATTATTAATTTTGCATTTTTCTATTGATTTTTAACCTGCATTTTTTACGTTTTCTAATCAGTCTCTTGGAGATAGGCCGTGGCTGATGGGGGCCCCTAACTGTCGGGGCCCTTAGTTTTTTAACTAAGGGACCGTTCATTATTTATACCTGGGGTTGGTACTGAAGAGATGCGAAAAACACTGTAAATTTTTTATTTACCCAACCTCAACATAATTAAACACACAAGATTATGGTGACAGAAATCAAGTTGCCTAAATTTTAAAAGCTCACACAGACTCAAACTCACTGAGTGTGCCAATGGAACCACGTTCCTGCTGATCAATAATAGAGTCCTTCCTCAATCACTGATGGTCTATTTTGATACAGAATGTATTGTGCACATTTTTCTTCATATTTTCCAATGCATGGTAATTTTGGTTTTATTATATAGCTGACAGACAGCCACAATATTTTTTAACCAACCCATGAGCTAGTCAAAAACTTGATTACCCAACCCATATCTCTTCGGTACCAACCCCGGGTATAAATAATGAATGGTCCCTAACCCTAACCAATGTGCGTTACACCGCTGATCGGAATCTTTCTTCAAAAAACACTAATTGAAGAATTACTAGAACCAAAAATAAACACTGAAACTTTTCATGTTTATCATGTTCACCACTGGTCGTTGCAATTGCGAATTTGCCAACGTTTGCCTGATGTTTTTTTTGTGCGAGTGTTGAAGTTGTGCTGTTCCGGCAAAGGAGGCCCAATAGTTGGTGGTAATAGGCAAAAAATGACTAAAAAAGTTTTAAAACTCAATAAAATTTCATTGTGTTACCGTCAGTGGCGTAGATACCGGGAGCTCAGGGAGAACGTGATGATTCACCTCTGCTGTTATGAGGTGAACCATCCTGTTGTCAACTTCCTAGACCTCACTTTGGACTTGGAAAACGAACCATTTTCACCTTTCAGGAAACCAAACAAGGACCCACTCTACGTCGACAATAGATCTAACCACCCACCTTCTATCATCAACCATTCCCTTCCTCTTCGATTCCCTTCCTCAATTTCCTACAGTTGATTGGTAAACATTTCCCTTCTACCAACCCGCTTCAAAAGGTCTTTAACAGCAACATGTACAGTCAAAGTTAGCTAATCCTGCATGGAGAATATCAAAACCATTATATCCCAACATGATCATCGCATGTTAAAGAGAAACCCTACACAAAAACATGTCCAATGCAACTGCCAAAAACCAGATGAATGCCCACTAGACGGGAAGTGCAAAGTAGACAACATCGTTTATAAAGCCATGGTGACAACAACTGATGACGAAAATACAAAGCAGTATATCGGAATGACGGCCAACCCATTCAAAGAAACTGAGATACGCCAACCACAACACGTCGGTCAACTTATACAACCACTCGTCTGATACAAAGCTTTCCAAGTATGTTTGGAGTCTGAAGCAAAGTAGAAGAAATTACAGCATCAAGTGGTCCATCCTGAAAAGAGGCTAAAGAGCTGCTGCGTACACGCTTGGTGGAAAGCGATGTGGCCTCTGTTTGGAAGAGAAGGTATGTATCCTGAAAGCGAAAGGGAACAATTCACTGAACACGCGATCAGAGTTTTATGCGAAGTGCATGCCGTCATAAGGAAAAATTTAGCGCGTGCAAATTCAAACTGATGATGAAAGGCAAACCTCCGCGTCAGCGACCTACCGTTGATGCATGTTGACGAATCAAACACTGACTGAATTAATTGCCCGAAGATCGTCTTGAATAAGGCGTGAAACTTGAGTAGCAATAATTAATTTTAAGATATAAATATATATATATATATATATATATATATATATATATATATATATATATATATATATATATATATATTTAGAAAACTCATTAATAATTCAGGAGCAAAACACAAAGAAAAATCATAAGCGTGTCGTGGTTTTATATGTGATAAAAAATCACGTTAATTTACATAAACTTTAGCTCTGATTTTCTCGGTTTAGACAAAGTTTATTTTAAAAATTTCTTCGCCAATGAACTCGTATAAGATGAGTCGTTTTTTAAGCTATTTAAAGCACTTGTAGTCGTGTTTTATCACATATAAAACACTCCGCTACGCGTCGTGTTTTATATGTGATAAAACACTCCCACGCGTGCTTTAAATAGTACATATATATGGGTTCAGGACCCAGATATATGTGGGTTCAAGACGCAGACTATATATATATACCGTATATATATATATATATATATATATATATATATATATATATATATATATATATATATATATATATATATATATATACATATATATATATATAGTTAAAAATAAATTTTATTAAATTTCAAGTAAATACATAAATACGTTTCGGGGCATAGCCCCTTCGTCAGAAACTGACAAATATATATATATACGAGTAGGTCAGAATATATATATACGAGTAGGTTTGTGGATACGAAACGCAAAGAGTGCTCAATATCATAAAGATAGGGCAAATGTAGATAGGGCAAATGCAGTTACTGTTTCATCAGTAAAGAATCATCAGGCGGTATGACAAGTTTCGAAAATAGGGCAGCTTATATGTGTTTTGGCCGGAACGTGGGGGTGGGTGGCTGAAACAAAGCATGCAATCATCTATTGTTTGCGTTGTTTACGCGGAAATGCCTAATCGAATTGTGGGAGTGTATTGTTTGCGTTGTTTACGCGAAATTTCTTCCTATGTCTGCACGTAGATATAATTTCCATTCTTTTATTGAGTAAACAGTTTTGGTTTTCTTTCAAAATACAAAATTTTTCCTCTAAACATAAATTACATCGTTTTGATCCTCCCGTATACGAAATAGCGCGTTTCAAAATTTGCCAATTGATATTAAAATCTTTCTTGCTATCTTTCAATGTCCAAATATATTTCGAAAGCTCAGTTTTGTTTGAGTGCTCTTTATGCTCGAAAGTATAGTTATGGTTAGCCAAACGCTCTTTAAATGTAGTTGATGTCATGCCAATATAATTCATGGTCGTGTTAGGGTTGCTTGTTGTGACTGTTGCTTTGTATAATATGTCCTTAGTCATGCATTGTTTCTGAAGTGGGCATATTGTGTTTTTCGAACAACTGCAATTGACAGTGCCCTTGTCCTGTGCCTTGTTCTTCCTAGCTATATGTGCATTGTGCTTAGTGATTATAGACTTAACATTGCTCATGCAGCTATAACTTACTTTTACTGAATTTCTATTAAAGATCTTATGCAGCTTGTGGTGCGAAGGAAAGTGCTTGTCGATAAGGTTAAGAAAATTACGCCCTATATTAGTGCTGACATTCATGCTAAATGGTGGGTTGAACCAAATGATGTTACGTTGCCTATTTCTGCGTGCTTGCTGTGGTGCATGTTGAGTGTAGTTAAGATCATGATTAAAGTTGCTATGGTCAAGTGCGTTTTGGTATGCAGGTACAGATTCTATAAATGTTTGCTCATCTGATGAAAGCATTGCGATGCGCTTGTTAACTGATGTAGGAAGCTGCCTTATAATGCTAGGTGGATGGTTAGAGTACCTATTTATGTATAGCGGATCGTCATTGGGCTTCCTATAGGGCCTATATTTTCCGTTGT